TAAATTTTCCATTCTTTAAAAGGTGAATAATTTAAAAGAATTCTATTTTGTAATTGAAGAAAACCTATGAAATGTGCCTTATTTTGTTATGTCACTTATAAGGAGCACTGATGTTAATTACACACCACTTGAGCAATAATCATTAATAAGGAAGTATTTATTTATATATAAATCTTAGATATTACACTTATATAAAATTTTAATCATTTATTTTTTCATTTTCGATGATTTAGATTTATAATAACTTTTTATATGAAAGAATAATTCTTTTTTAAATATGGATAAATTTCAACTAGTAAAAGTAAAAAAAAAAATAATTGAGATTTTTTGTAAGTATAATATATAAAACTTATATGTAACTAGATTCTGATACATCGTTAATCTTGATTCAATTTTGCACTTTTTTGTTTTTGTGTTGCTTTCTATTTAATTTATTTACAGTATTTCTTGAGTTGCACTTGTAGTGTTAGTGGTATTAACAAGTGGGTAAGTGCACCAATTCCTTCATTTTTTTTAGTATATATTTTTTTAGTATTAACATCCTAGTATCCAGTAATCATATTGGATTCTGATTAATCCAGAATCTGACTAATCTGAAATCGAGTTACATCGGATCCAATTAGTGGGGAAACTTTTCTAACGTCTATTTTTCCCCTTCACAAAACTCGAACTTGAGACTTTACTTAAGAAGAATCGAGCTCCTTCCATCATTCGAACCAACAGGTTATTGATATATATATATATATATTTAGTATATACATTAGAAGTTATCTGTTTCACAATGTAAAGGTTTAAACTCATTAAAATTTTAAATTAGCAAGTAGAACTAATTTATCCAAAACTCCTAGTTATGCGAGTTCCTTCAATGTTAAAAATCTAGGCCCACCTAAATTCGGGCCTAAACTGGTAAGCATTCCTTACCTGTCCGTGCTGAAAAGGCCCAAGCCCAATAGAATGAGGTGAAGATATTTTTCTAGGAAACAGACAAATTCTTTCATCGTGGAATAAAATAACAGAATTTGGATTATTTTGTCCATTCCCGCTTACAGAATTATAAAATTTGATTTTCTTGAAATACCTTTTACTCTTTTACGATGCAACCCTCAGCTTCACTTCTATTTCATCCTTTTCTTGGACCAATCTGAAAACAAATTATACTCGTAGGGTAAAACCTGAGGACACTTTTTCGACAAATAGCAAAAACCTGAGGGGGTGCACTGAAACCCGAACGTCATCATCTTCTTCCTATTTATTGGACTCGGGAGGAAGGAACCAAGCATTTCGGCCTGTGCGCGAGACTCATTCTCTAGGGTTTCGAAAGTTTTCGTCGAGAGCAACGAAGTCTTTGCTTTCTGAGGTAAAATCACTCTCTCAGATCTTTTTACTCCTGCAATCGATGTTTGTAATAGTTTTCTGTTTGGTTCCTGGGAAAAAAAAAGGGAAAATCAAAAGGAAAATTTGGTTTGGTAGTCTCTAAGATGGAATTTATGCTTAGATCTGATGGTTCAATGCTCCTTTGTATTAGATCTGAGCTGCATGTGATTATTTTTTTTTGAGTTGTTGATTGCCTATCTCTGGTTTTCACCTTTTCTTCTCACTGTCTTATAATTTCTATAATCCCGATTACTTTTTTTCTTTCTTTTTTGGAATCGTGATGTGAGCTGAATTCCAATTGATTTTCACTTGTAGATAATTTTTGTTTGAGCCGAGTGTTATTTTGGAGCATAGTTATCCTTCAATGGAAATGAGGATGCAGAATCTTTATGTGTGTTAGACATGTGATGGTAATCCAATAATCTGTTAGTGATTAGTATGTTTTCTGCGTTTCTGTGTGTTTGCTATGTTGAAATGAGTAGAGTTGGGTAATGCTGAATACTGGCCCATTTCGTATGATTAGGTCTTTGTTTATGGTCGTCTCTACTGCTGTTTGTTTTCTGTTTCTACTTGAAAGATATGTCACATTTTGTAGCCAGGTACCATGAGGCCTATCTTCTGTGGAAACTTTGAGTATGATGCTCGCCAGTCTGATCTGGAACGGCTCTTCAGACGATATGGAAGAGTTGAGAGAGTGGATATGAAATCTGGTAAGTTCTCATGCTATGGATAACAGGTTCATCTAATGATTGCCGTTATATCTTGTGCATTACTTTGAAATGTTACTTTTGAAGTTAAATTCTTCAGGATTGTGATGATATTGGAATATATGCCATTCCATATGATTTTTTCCTTGATACATGAATGAAGGAGAATCTGTTTTGGTATTAATGTGAGAAGGGTATCTATATTGGATTTTGGACCTTATAGAATTTTCTGTCTAAAAACTTCCAAAAGCATTATTCAAAAATAGTTGTTGTATGTTGCTAAGAATAAAATGGGTTAACATTAGCAGTAGTATTCCTATTTTGTGGCATTTGAATCATTGGACCCCTTCTGCTGATAAAGAGGAACAAATGAGTGTGTTCAGAAAGGAGATTAACTGAATGGTATCCAGCTTAGTGTGATAGGTAAGGCTTTCGTTGGTCGTCATGATGTATTTATCGTATTTTTTTATTATTATTTTGAGGATGTCTTCATAGATAAGAAGGGATTAATAGAATTACCTTAAATTCATAATGTGCTCTTAAATCTACAATGCCAATCAATGCATGCACATATTTACCCAATAAGGCAGTAAAGTTCCTCACCAGCAACACATGTCAGTGCATCCAAAATTCGTTCCTGAAGGTTTCTTCTCTCATCGCAATGTCTGGTCAACAGCATGATCTCAGAATATGCGACTTGGCAACATCAGTAATCCATTGTTGAGTTTCAGTGGGGCTTCAGGATATTTTTAAGGCGGAAAAAGGGTATTTGAAACATAAGCCCCCATGCTCAACATTTTCTTTGCGCAGGATTTTCATGTGATGTAGTGGAGGGACTCCTCAGAATTCTCTGTTTCCTGCCTGTGACGAGCTAATTCTTCTTGCTTGCAAGAAGAGTCACTTTGTTGAGTTGTTCTGCAATGGCAACACTATTCCTCATTTTCCTCAGACACTATTGCCTTCCATTCCTCATGACTTTTGCCCAGCCTCCAATTCCAGACATGTTTCAAGATAGAAACATTGCCGACCTCAAAGCAGAGGCAGCAGAATAAATGGAGAAGGCATGGCAATCTATATCCATTGACCTTCCATGAGACATGCACTTTTGGGTTCTTTCCTTGACATCCACTTAGTTCTTCACACAAGGTCTGTTACTACTTTTACTGGTCACTTAGCTTATAGATTTTAGGGAAGTTGCCAAATTTTTAACTAGGGTAGGTTTTTTGGTGAACTGTATCTTGCTGAAGGGGAAAATGCTGAATCTTGTTGGATATTCCTTTTGCGGGAGGATTCTTACCTTTTCCTTTTTCTTTTATAGAATATTTATGAGTGTCATAGTAAGCCATGCAATACTGTGTTTTCTAGGATTTGCTTTTGTATACATGGAAGATGAGAGGGATGCTGAGGATGCCATCCGAGCACTTGATCGGACGGAATTTGGTAGGAAGGGTCGCAGACTTCGTGTTGAGTGGACAAAGGTAATCATTATACTGGTAGTTTGTATGTAGTTCTTGTTATTATTCTCCTTTTCAGATTTTATATCTTACATAAGCTCTTTTCTTTTGTGTTGTAGCATGAACGTGGAGGCATTAGAAGGCCTAGTGGAGGTTCTTCAAGAAGGTCTTCAGTCAATACTAGACCTTCAAAGACTTTGTTTGTTATCAATTTTGATCCATATCACACCCGTACAAAAGACTTGGAGAGGCATTTTGAGCCATATGGAAAGATTGTCAGTGTGAGGATAAGAAGGAATTTTGCATTTGTTCAATATGATTCGCAAGAGGATGCCACCAGGGCATTGGATGCTACAAACATGAGGTAGATCTGTTGCTCGTTTTTCTATACCTTTGAACTCTTCCCCGAATTTTTTATTCTGCAAGTCCTTGATAACTGGTTTGAAGATATGATCTTGGATTCTCTTTGATGTACAGCAAGCTGATGGATAGAGTTATATCAGTGGAATATGCAGTTCGAGATGATGATGAGCGCGGAAATGGACATAGCCCTGACAGAGGTCGTGATAGATCACTAGAGAGAGGCCGTGATAGAAGGCGATCTCCAAGTCCTTATCAAAGAGAGAGGGGTAGCCCTGATTATGGCCAAGGTCCAACTCATAGCCCTTACCGGAGAGAGAGGGGTAGTCCTGATTATGGTCGTGACCGCAGCCCCAGTCCGTATAGGAGAGATAGGGTTAGCCCCGACCATGGCCGGGGAACTAGCCGTAGTCCATACCGAAAAGAGAGGTCTGCTGCTGACCATGCTCATGGTTCCAGCCTGAGTCCACTTCAAAGAGAGAGAGGTAGCCCAGGGAATGACCATGTTCGTAGTCGTAGTCCTTACAGGAGAGAGAAGCATAGCACTGAGAATGATCGTAGCCTTAGTCATAGTCCCTTTGGAAAAGAAAGAGCTATCCGGGAAAATGGTCAGGGGCGTAGTCATAGTCCATATGAAAGAGAGAGAACCAGTCCTGAAAATGGTAATGGCCCCAGTCCAAGTTCTGTGCCTGAGCCAAGGGATAGCCCTTATGGTGGTGGAGCTGAGAGCCCTCCAAATGAGAGATTCCACAGGTCTGTTTAATTTTATGTTTTCCTGCTAAACTTAACCATTCATCATACCTAAAAGTTGATATGATTGATTTACGTTTTCATACACTATATTCTTATTCAAAATGCAGTTCGTCACCTCCAGCGGAGGAATGATTGTGATGAAAGGATCTGAAGAATAATGTGATGTTAAATTATCAGAGCTTGCTTTGCGACAGAGATCAAAGTCCTGTTTTTTTCCTTAAAGTGGAAACTGTTACTGCAATTATATTAGAGCTATGTTCTGATCTTTGGTTGTAGCGTATTCAGTGTTAGCAAATACTTATTTAAATGCAGTGGATTATTACTTTTCATTTAAAATGAGAGGTTGCTTAGTGGATTATGTAGTTTGTCTTCCTATTCCATGCATCGACATTTTCCCCATGTGTACTGGGTAGATTGTTAATGGAAAATGATTCATCCGTAATGAGTCCCGATGTTATGCGGTTGTAAATCTATTTTGATTGTGATTGGTTCGTTTAATGTCGTGTCTGGTGTGGGATTTTATTGCGAGTGTATCAGCTTCAATTGTGAATGAGTGGCACGTTTTTTTGCATCCAATTAGTCGAGAACATTTATCTTCTCCAAGAGGATGATGGCAGCCTTGTTTTATTTTAATTAAATGCTGTCGATTCATTGAAGCAACTTGCTCCCTAGTTGTCCATCAAAAAATGCAAAAGTTGCTCTCCAGTTGTCTAATCTTTCTCTTCCTTCTGTGAATGGAGTTCCAATTGCTTTGCTCGCTGTCTTACATCAATTTTTTTGCTTTTATTTAGGAAATCAGTTTATCCCAACGTGAAGGACTGCCCGATTTTGTGCGGCAGTTCAAAAGCAACACAAGTGGCTAAGGTGGTTCTCTCCCCAAAATGCTAATCTTTTTCAGACAATGCAATTCCTAAGTACACCACTATGTTTGTGAACAATAACAATGGATGGTGTATCATAACAGTGGATGGTTCCTCCTCACTCAATCACCTTAAGGATTTCAAATTTAAAATTTCATATTCTTAACCACTTGGAATTTCATCTACTTATTATTTTGTTTTTGCCTCTAAGTCGTCATCATGCAATACAATATTCATTGAGGGTCATGGCGGTCCATCTTCCTAAAAAATTAAGAATCTAAAGGCTTAAACCTATGTTTGCTTCAATAAACACCCACAAGAAAAGATTAAAATAGTTCTTTTTGAATCTTTTTCTCATTTAGGCTAGTTTAGTCATTTTTCATAAAAAATTGTTAAAATGATATAATTTTGAATCTTTAAATATCTAAAATTTTTGGGAGTAACTGATGAAGAGTTTTGCATGTAAATAATGATAATATGAAAATCAGATCTAACGGGTAACGTCCGAACTAACTAACTTGCGCACCTGAAAAGGAAAAGAACAGTTCATTGGTGTGTGAACTGAAGATAAATTTAGCAAAAAAATTTCTGATACTCAAATTAGCAACGTTACGGTGTAAGGCAACCGATGAAGGAGGTATCAACTCAACTGCTAACAAGAAATCTTAGAGTTAATGAAAGCTTGCCACGTGTAAGGGGTATTTAGATAGAGAACTAAGACTATAAGGAAAATACAAATCCAGCCGACCGTTAAATAATCAAATAGAGTGGCATTCTTTTTATATGCTTTTCCAAAAGCAGAGGACTAGGCAGTCACCAACGTCTTAGTGCATTCTGATATTCATACACGTTCTACCCCTTTATGTCAAAACACTACGGCGTATAAAATCTTTGAAAGGTTCATAGTTTTCTAAACTTTCTGCCTCCCAAGACAGGATTATATCACTTCGTATTTTGTGTATTGATTCCCATGCAGAAACTGCATTTGCATTTCTATCTTTAACCATAGCTTTCATGGCATCAGAAAATAGAAAAAGGTTAACACTTTTGAGTATTATTTCTACGCGTGGAAGCTTTAAGATAATCAAAGATTCGACGATGTAAACAATTATCCATTGCTTTGGTATTGATTCTAATCTTATTTATAGCCGTAATCTTATCTCTTCCTTTATCAAAATGTCATTGAACAAAAAGATAAAACAATGG